AGAGAGAGAGAGAGAGAGAGAGAGAGAGAGAGAGAGAGAGAGAGAGAGAGAGCACGCGTAAACGGCTATCAGAGTAAAATACCAAGATGCTAATGCATGGTACATGGTTAGGATATATTCAAGCAAATTCTCACTAATTGATCAAGATCAGTCCACAAGAACCAAGGGACTTAATCAACGGGATGATCACTCCCAAGTTTTCCTCCTTTTAGTCAATATCCAGTAGCTTAAATTCATCAACGTACATCAGAGACTAAGCAATAGTGTAAAAGAATAAGAAGAAACGTGAATAAGAAAATATATCGTAATTTAGTCTTTCACATGAGAAAATACCTGCATGTTGCCTATCAGCAGTGCAAAGAAGACCAAACCCAGAAGACAAATAAGACTGGACAAGAGCGTCTCAACAATGTTTATGCTTGTAGTTATACTTTGTCCATACGAACTGAAAATCAAGTTATTGAATGATCCGTTAAGCATAAATCCTAATGAAATATGAAAAAAAAAAGTTCTTTTGCACTAAATATCTTGCACTTGTCACCAATATCTTTTCAGGGTGACACAAAGCACAGTGAGTTCCGAACCTTGCCGCTACCTAATTAGCCCCAGAACCACCATTTAAGCTAAACTAGTAGGTCATGGACTTTTCTCCACATTTTCCTTCAAAATGGCCCCTTAATTCATATTACCGAAGAAAGTTAAGAAAAAAAGGAATTACCAAAGAAAGTTGCACAGTTTTTTGAGTCACAATGCCATTAAATTTTCATTTTTATTTGTTCTCAAAACAGTTAGTGCAATGCACCCACATTTTTATGCCACAGTAACATCCATCTTTCATTCAGTATATAATCAGGAAATGCTTTATAAGCTTTCCATAAAGTCCTGCAGACTAATGCATGATTGGCAGGGAACAAAAATTCTTCATAAGAAAAAATCAAGAGAAAATTAAATTTAACATTCCTAATATCACAAATTCGTATACTAGAATAAAAGATGAATGTTTCATGCCACATTGAAGTCTCCTTTCTTTTTTCTCGTAAGGAGTAAAAATTGTGGTCCAGTACTTCAACCTGACTACATGGAGTATAAGTTGCAACTCAGATACTTAAAATTGAGCGAGAGAGAGGGCTAATATTTAACAGTCCAATATCAGAACGGATATGGAAGACCAAACCTGTTGTCTAAGCCAGGCTTCTCTTCAAGGAATTATCTATATAATGGTAAAAAATCGTATGACTATGTATATGACAAATATTAATCTTCAGCAAGCTTGGTTTAAGTGAATGCACGACTCTGATGTTAGGTTCTGCTCCAACTTTAAAAACAAGTTTCCGAAGATGAAGAATTTACTTTACAGTTTTCTGACAACAGTTGAAAAAAATATTTTATGAGGAGAGAGAGTTCTCAGCTGACTCACGAAGGTTAGTTCCTGAACAACTTATATCTTTCTGCTAATCAATGGACAGGACGAACAACTTTTCGAGCCCTGACTTACGATCTACCCACATGTCATTTGCGAAGTATCTTTCGACCACTTGATAATGATTTATTGAGGTGCAGACAAAGTCCATTAGATAAAGAGTTTTTTATATTGATATGCAGACTATCTTCTAATTAACATAATTTAGAAAATAAATTAAGACAGAGAGACCACAAAGGATTTGATAACAAAGAGAATACCTTAGGCTCTTTAAACCCCACCATAGGCAGTAAAAATATCGATCAAAGATGCCAGCAGATGTAACTTCTTCAGTATTTGCATCACCAAACATTCCAAACTCAAAGCTTATATCAGCATTAGCATCGCAATTCTTGAACACCTCAGTGGTTTCCGACCACTCCTGACGCCCAGGTTTACCAAGTGATGAGCAATCAAGGTAGTCTTTATAACAAGCTGGAGCACCCTCCTGCTGCTTTGCGCACTCATCCTTCCAGCATGAAAAGTGCCTCTCAATAGCCATCAGATACCATATAGCTCCTAAAACCTGCACTGACAATTGAAAAACCAGACTAATCACTGATTCAATCTCCGATGAATTAGAAAATATAGTCTGAAAGGCTGCAGGTGCAACTTTTCAATCCAGCTTGAGGAGAAAAGACGATATTATGTTATGGATCATAGCAATATCACAGCATTTATTATATCAATAACAATGAAAAAGACGTCTTCGACATAGGAATGTTTTGCTGCTAATTTAGTTTCTTCACTTTTTCCTCTCTTTGCTAGCGCACAATCAGCAACAACCACAGTATACATCACCATAAAATTTCATGCAAACTCAACTGCAATATTGTAGCTACTACCACCGAAACTATTGCAACATCTGTGACCACTTAACACCCACCTTTTTTTGGTTATCCACCCGGTTGCTGATACCCGCTTTGGGGCCCGACTAAATCTGGATTCGCACGGAGAAACCCTACTTTGGAGGTAAAGCGCTCCCTACCAAAGGCGACTACATACCCAGTGCTCGAACCCGAGATATTTGGTTAAGAACAAAGGAGTGCTTACCACTCCACCACAACTATTTGATGGTCTAACACCCACTTACTACACCAGATGGGACTCTAACCTCCTAAAGCCCTCAAACTATCCCATATACTGACTTCCTGATTCACTGAAAAGAGCAAATGTGTGTGGACATCCTGGTACCATTATCCTTCATTTACCAGCAGGGCCTCTTTTAAGGCATAAATCATGTAGATATTCCAACAGCATTGGCGGTGAGACTTAAACTTATGATATCTATCTACTTAACTTGATAATGAGTTCTATAGTTCCACATCATTTAAAAGCTTGAGTTGCTTGGAAAATATAAAATTTAAAGCTTAAGGTTTTCAGAGATGAATTTTTTTTATTTACTTATTTAATTAGGTCTGTAATAACAACCACATAAAAATAATTGGCATGACAAAAAAAAGCACTAGAAAGAACTGAAGCAAACCTTATTGTTGAACTACTACTGTGACATTTTCATCAGTAGCCTAAATCAGTGAGTTGCCATAGTCCAGGAGTCAAATTACAAAAGTCTCACTGCTTCCTAAGGTGAGGTATTTTCACCATCTGTTAGGTGTTGAGAAGATCCAAATCTTGAAAAGATAATGAAAAATTGCTTTTTCATTACCAATGCTATTGATTATGCTGACAAGGATTAAATATGACAATTAAAGCAAATGTGAGTCTGGAGTTTGGATAGTGGGTAGATAGCTTCTAATTTGTCAGTTGAGAATATCAACGCGGGAAGAATGCATGGAATAATGGTAGGCAAAAGAGGTATCACCAAAATGTAGACTTGGAACATTACTTGTAGATACTACTTTTGTTTCTCTCAGTCAACCAATTTCCAAAGATTTTTCCTCCAGAGGACCATCACTTAAAGGCAAAAACTTTTAAAACCTGGGAGCTTTCCCAACTATATACACAGTAGAGTTAACACCAATGACATGCTATAGCTAAACCTGTTAGCGAGCTCAGCTCATATCGGCATCACATGAGTAAGGAGTGTAACAAGCCTGTACTTTGTTTACATTGCTCCTTAAAAAGGAGATATCACATAAACTATAGGTTTTGAGGAGTCCTATCATTCGTTATTTGTTTTTAAGTAATAGAGCTTTGATTTAAGGCAACAAGGGAGGGATAGTCTAATTGTAAGACGCTCCACATCCAACCATTAAGTTGGAATTCGAGTCACAATGGGGCAAAGGGGAAAAGGACCAATTGGGAATGGGCAACAAATTGCATTTAGAAAGATTAGTTCACACCTCTCAAAACTATAATTCATACTCTGAGAATTTATAGTTGATGAATTCAAAGCCTATAGTGCCCTTAAAATCCATATTTGGTTGAGTAGTGCCCAGACCTGATTTGTGCACTCTTTATCACTGTACAGCTTTCTTCACAGCCTGGTCCTCAAATTGAAAAAGTTAAATAATTTGAGTTCAACTGACAGCTGAAAGGTAAGGGTCAATCACTAAATCTATTTGACATGTGTCCCTTCTTCCTCCGTTCTAAACTTGTCACTTTTTCTAATCGGTCAACTTCCATTCACTTTCATCCACTAAAATAAGTTGATTTTTCCCCTGCCTGCTATTGTGCGCTAGTGACACCTTTAGTCTGGCCAAAATATGTTATGTCTTGTTTATGGGTTCCTAATTTAGCTACAGGTCTATTTAATGATATCATTTCGAGATTAACATGAGATAAGCAGAATATGGTTTATTGACTAAGTTTACCTTAGTCTCTTGTTGACAACTCGTATCCTATACTTTCTGAAAAAGAATTCCTTTGAGAGTTGTCAACTGAGAGGTGGCAATGACCAAAACAAGGATCTGAATTTAGGAAGGGAGGTGCCTTGTGCACTATTTTGATAAAAAAGAAAAAAAAAATACTATCAAAGACTGCAGAACTTACATGACCTGCCAGCAAGTACAGGAGGAGATTGTATGCTGCACCAGACCAAGCTGTCTTTGCCACAACACCTGTATTCCTAATAATCTTTGAATTTAAGGGGAAAATGACTAACAATCTTGGCACATACTGAAGCATAATAATCAAAGAGATGGCATGATTAGCATGAGTGGCGGATGAGCCATTCAATGGCATTATAAACCAAATAACAATCTGCAAAACCAAAAATAAGACAAAGTTACTATTCATCATACCACCCTCAAATTAATAAACATACTTTTCCAATAAGGCATAATAACAAAATTTGATTTCAGCCTTCAAGTCCAACTATGTTGCACAATGAAAGTATGTCACAAAAAGAAACGGTTGGGCGTGCGAACAAAAGTCACACACTGGTAGCTAAAAAGAAAAGGAAGCTACAAATAAGGTGTTGGGATAATCTTAATGGTGTGAGGTCTTTTGGGAAAAACCATGCAGGTTTGGCACAAAGCAGATAGTATCACATCATATTGAGAAATATCTTTGGGTGACAATGGTTTCGGGGGACGAGTATGAAGATAGCAGAGTGATGGCAAAAGGCTCGCTTACTACCTTTTACCAATCGCAAAGGTAAGTTGGAGTACAAACACATAAGAACCTATCCTCTGGGCTTCGGTGGCTATAAATACTCGAATAATGTGAATGGCACGACAGTAAATCTTCAAATAAGCCCATGAGGTAATGGGACATGTGAAACATAGTTCGGGGGCTTGGAGATGGACCATGTGACACTTAATTTGAGAGGAAGATTGTTGGTGTGAGAATAAAAGCCCCACATTGGTAGCAAAAAAAGAAAAGTAAGCTACATATAAGGTGTGAGGCCTTTTAGAGAAAATCAAGCAGACAATATCACTTAAACCCAGCTCGAAACCATGGATTCATTCAAATGCTAATCCAGAAGTACAACATTAAGAACAAATTATTATGATTACAACGTTGACAAAGAAACATGATATAATGTATGTAATAGACTGACTTGTGGGAGCGGGAGGGCAGCAGCAAGATCAATGGCAAAGTCATTCTTCAAGTAACGGATAGCAATCAATTTCTGATCCATCACCAGCTCGCCCTTACCAAAAACCCGGGTTTTCTTGGAAACAAAAGCCGTACGGAACTTCATAATGATCTGAAACAAGGCGAAGATATCAACCAATACGCGAAAAGTTAATATGGTGTATCCCAAAACATTATCGGTGCTCATGCAGGTTTCCCGAATAATTGGAAGCAACAAAAAAAGAGGATCAACAAATAGACCGACAAAGGAAGTGACCAAGAAAATGTGGTTCCATCTGGCAACGAACTCGCCATTTGGATCGAGAATTTGTTGCCACCAGGGCTTCTGACGGTCGTAAATTAAGGAAGGTTTGGAGAAACGGTGGAGATGGTGCTGGAGAGTGTCCATTTTTTGTTACAGAAGAAACCCTAGGACAGAAGGTCGATGATTGCCATGGAGATTTGAGTATTATCAATGGGTGGAGAAGGAAACGGAGAGCCATTACAATGGAATGCTGCATTGCGAACACGAGGAGTTGTGTCTGTGTCCCCGATATGTGCGTGCAGTTCGTTGAATCAGCGCGCCAAATCAAAACCCCCAACTCACTTAAAACAGATTAGTACTAATATCATAACGGGGAAAAGGGCTAATATATCCCTCTGCTGTGGAATATTGTTACTTTAAAATTTGGGACTTTTACCTAGTTATATTATATTAGAAACTTATTTATTAATGTTCTCTATGTTTTATAGTTTTTAATAAATATCTAGGTTTTTCTTACAAATTGTGTAGATTTCTCCTTAAAAGGCTCCCACCCCATTATTAGTGTCTTCAGTTAAGGGATTCAATTATATCCTTTCCTTTTTTTCCCCTCTCCTCTTCTCTCTCCTTTTTTTACAACAAAATTCCTTAATCTACGCCCAGAATCTCCATCTTCTCTCTTCCCACAATTGTCAATAATTTTATATTATTAAATCATCAATTGCATTGTTCTTTTGTTGGGAGACCGGACTACACTAAAAATGAAGAAATATTCAGGAATTGTATGATACATGTATCATAATTGTATTTAAATTGTATCAGATACATCAATACGTAAAATGTAATTGTATCATATTTGTATCACAATTGTATATAACTTGTAGATGGTACACTAATATCTAAAATAATACCTGATACAATACTAATAAATTAATATATAATTATCATATATTTGTAATACAAACTGTGAAATTCGTCACGATCTCACAACTGCTCATAATTCAAATACAAATTTGATACAATCCTGAAAGAATTCTTACATAATTATGATACAACTTAAAACCGACTCTAAACTTAAACTGATACAATATCGTATTATACTTGTATTAGTGTTGTATCATGTATTGTTTTAGGTACAAATTGTAATACAATTCTAAATTATGATACAACTTTGATCTTCATCTTTTTCAAGTTTCAATGTAAAACATCCACCTAGAACCAACTCTAAACTTAAATTATAATACAATATTGTATTTTAATAGTATTAGTATTGTATCAGAATTGTCTTAGGTATTGATGTATCAAATACAACTCAGATACAATTAGATATCTTTATCATACAATCGTAATATAATTCCGAAACTTCATCTTCCTCGAGTTTCATTATGAAATTCAACCTAAAACCAACTTTAATGTAGAGTGAAACTTACCAACAACTTGATTGTAGAGCAAATTTTTGAATTTCTTCTGTATTGTATAAATAAAAAAGAGATTTTGGACGATTAAAGAGAGAAATTGTATATCAACAGCTTTAGAAGAGGAGTGAGTAAGCTAGATTTTTGGGTTAGAAAGATTATGGGTATCAATGGATTTCTTACTATGGGTAAGTACAAAGAGAGGTGATGATTTTGGGGTGCAGTGGGTTTCTTACGGTGATGATTTTGGGTAAATACAAAGAGAGGTGATGATTTTGGGGTGCAGTGGGTTTCTTACGGTGATGATTTTGGGTAAATACAAAGAGAGGTGATGATTTTGGGTAAGTACAAAGACATATATAGCTTTCCTTGGAAAAAGGAAGAGTATCTTAAATGTAAGGGATTATGTGTAATTGATACCCAATATTTAATGTATGTTTCATTTCCTCTTTTTTATGGTTTTGTATAAAACTAGTAAATATAGGTATATAAAGTAATTAATAAAGAACCTAAATAAATATAGTAAATAGGTTTCTATTATAGTATAGCTAGGTAAAAATCCCTTAAAATTTTCCCTCTGTCCATCAGGTGATCCATAATCTCCCAAATTATTTAAATTAAGTCGCTTATTCTTTTTCTTGATCCACTATTTTTGAAATAATACCTGCTTTCTTAATTGAAAAAAATAAATAAGAGAAAAAATATTAAAAGTACAACTATTAGTAAGCAAAGTATAGTAAATTGAAGAATCTAAATTAAGTAGCTTGTCTGATTTCCAAAAGTATTTGCAACATTCCAACTTTAATGAATTCGTTGCACCAAAGATATGGAGACTTTGTAAGTATTAGTGATAGAAATTGAAGTTCCTCAGAGACTTTACATTATTGAATTCAAAGTTCCTTTAATCAAATGTCTACGCATTATCCACTCTTAAGTTAGTCAATCAAACTCTATACTAACCAAACAATAACAAAATATATTTGAATATACATGTACATATATGATGATCAGCTGCATATAATATACAATAAATAACCAACTGAATTGTACGGTGTGTATATTGTTGAAAAATAAATAAAATTTTAAACCAATTCCAAACTCATTATCACAAGAAGAGAAGTGGGTGCGTTGGCAATTAAAAATAGCCATGGACAATTTGTATTGTCTAGTACCTGTAGCATTCACATCCAGTAACAGATTTAGAATTTTAAAGTTATGGGGTGCTAACCGATACAATTTCCAAAAGAAGATAAAAAAGAAATTTAATTGTGGGTGCTACTCTATATATTTTTATAATTGCCTATGCAAATTTACTACATATAATTAAAGGTTATGGGTACTTAAGCACCCACAAAAGCTAATGTAGATCCACGACTATTCATATCAATAATAATTTTTGAAAATAGTGGAGCAAGAAGAACAACAAGTAATTTAATTAAAATAAAATTAGGAGATATTGGATTACTTAACAGATCAAGGAGCAATTTTTAAAAGTTTAGTGATGGTGTAGGTAAATTTTGTTAAATAGTATAAGAATAGGAATAAATTTAATCGAATAATATAACATAGGTTAAATGTAAATAATATCTGAAAATAAAAGGCGTATATTTGACCCTTTTCCCCATTATAATTTACCTAACTGATTGAAAAGCGGTAGCTAATTTTTTTCGGTCACTCAATCACTTCTTATTGACTTGCCAGGTGTCAATTAGAATATCTTATGTAACCGATATCGATCCATAAGTTAACCTCAAAACATTGGAAAATTAACATTTACATTGTGTCCAAGAACTATTGTTTTTCTTAGTATCTCGTTGGTTCGATAAAGTCATACTAACAAATAAGAGGGAAAAGGTCCAAAAATGATTCTGTGATTTGCATTATGGTTACTTTTATCTTCCGTTTAAAGTTGGGTTTAATTATATCCTCGCCATTACAGAACTGGCACACAATTACTCTTATTTTTCAACTTAACTAGCCGAATATTACAAAATAAATAAAAAAGGTCCACAATTGCAATTGTGGATTACAATATTATCCAAACTTGTCTCTTTAACTATTTTTGTTCACGAGTTATTTTATGTTGCTTATATTCACAGCATTTGTTTGATGTGAGATATAGGCTTGCTTATAGTTAATTCAGTTTGAAAGATTTTAAATATTCCTCTATAGTGTACTATTAAAGTTTACTATTTAAATAACCTTCCTATAAGAGTCTCAAGCTCATTAATTCAAAAAAAAAAAAAAAAAAAGGTTCCATACTGTTTATAAAAGGATAATTCCTCTCGGTTTTGATGTATTTTAAATTTTACTGTGATAAAAATGTTATACTATATTAAACCTCTTTGTTATTTTTTTGGAGAAATATCAGGTATGTCCATTTATAAGTAGCTTATTACAAAAATCGGTTAATTCATAAAATATATTAGCCAAATATTAGTCAATTAGCTATTTGTAGCCAAAAAGGTCAAATTTTTGCTTTCTTTCGAATGAGTGTTATTAGAATAGATTGGGTACATCTTAAGAAACTTGAATCTCAGTTTTGGGATAATGTGGTGGAGTTTTGAGGTGGTTTGAATTGGAAATTCAAAGTAGAAGATGAACACAAAAAATGGTTGGTGTATCACACTGTGTATCACATGTCTATCCATGTATACCTGTGTGTAGATACATGTATCACAGAAGAATTTTTTGAATTCGATTTTAACTACGAATTTGATACTAAAATCAGTCTAAATCACTTCCAATCTTTCTCAAAATTTGTATATTCAGATGTTTTCAATGAATCTCAACTGCACCCATTGAAAAAAGTTATTTTTTTGCTTAGATTTTTGGAACATTGTATATATATATATATATATATATATATATATATATATATATATATATATATATATATATATATGGAAAGTACCATCCATCTGAAATTTAAAGATGACAAAATATTGACCATTTTACCATTGTTTCACTTATTCATTTCTTCTACATCAAAATCGTTATTACACAATTGTGTCCATAAGTTTGTCATAATATATTTTTATAATATTTTTTTTTCATTGACAAATGTGGGGAGAATATTTTATCTCTTTTACTTTCAATATATAATTTTTTTTGTGGAAATTAATTTGCTCGAGGGCAATTTCCAAACATAGGCCAAAACTACACCATTTGGACCTTATATTAGGCCAAATTTTAACCGGAGGATACATATAAATATATTTTCAATGTACAGTGATAAATTTGATTTCGTTTTTTTATTTTTAATGATTTTTTAGCCGAGTTAGAAAATAAAGATGAATGCGTATGTTTTGTAACGGTGAGCATAATTGACCCCAATTTTAAACAAAGGGCAAATATATATTTGCAGACCATAAAGGCAAATTTTCTCATTTCCTCATTATTCAATGTTATTAACTTATCCGCTTGATTCTTATTTTTCACTTTTTCTCATTTAAAATGAAATTTATTCGTTGCATAACTAAGTTCATAAGAAAAATAAGAAAATATCATGATGAGGGAAGGTAATTAATTTTCTTATTTCACATCTTATAAGTAGGGGTGTTAGTGTATGGTATTTTAAAAACCGATTGAACCATTCAAATTGAACCGTAACGAGCCGAGTTTTGGATTTTTTTTACCAAAACTATAAGTTTCGTTATAAATATGACACTACATACACTTGCAACATCGAAAAATACCTAACCAAATCGATAGTTAGATAGATCTTTAAAATACCGAACCAAACTGAATGGTTTCTCATTTTTTTTTTTGTTTCTCATTCTTCTACTATATTTTTTCTAAATTTTAGAGTTGCCTCTTCCAGATATATGATAAGACAAATAAGTGTTAAATACATTTCAGATTGTTTCGTCCAACAAGAAAGTGAACACCCGGGGAGTTTTTCTTCAACTAGTCAAACAACCAAG